CACTTATAATCGTAGCTACCCTTTAGTATTGCATTCAAAAAGAAGACATCTAATTTATTTTACTAGTAAGCTATTCCGTCTTTGCGTATTGCAGAGTTATCTTCTCTTGTGAGCAGGTATTGCATGTTACGTCATTTGTTTGTGAGAGGAACGTCATCGATATTTGAGAAAACGACGTAATTTTAACCAAGGACGTAACAATCAATACCTGCTGACAAGAGAAGATAACTCTGCAATACGCAAAGACGGAATAGTCAACATGCGCTAAGAGAATGTTGCTCTTGAGAAGACTTCTGTTTTTGCCAGGGAACACAACCTCAGCACAACGATTGTTATTGTGCTCGAACGTAGCCGCTAAAAGTGTCAGCATAACCGTGATACCAATACAGTTATCACAATAGGAGATGGTATAGTATAAGCTTTAAGCTGTATGAATTAATACCTCCAACTTAAATCGAGAACTTACTGATTTTGCTGCGTTTCTTCTTCTTATCATTCTCCGCAAAATGGTTTCTAGAACAGTGGTTGACGTATGTGGTGTGTATGCGGTTACGCGTTCCGTTTTCCGCCTCGGTCTATAATTGACCGAAATATTTATACATTGACGCCATGGAGATCCCAACTGTCTCTCACTATTTGCCAAAATGTAGCTTGTAAGCGACTTACGGCATTGCAAATTCTTTCCAGTGCATCATTTGCAGCAACAGGGGAAGTTTGGAGACTTCTGTAACGGTCCGCGTTACAATTAAAACCTATTAATTCTGATTTCATGTGATATTTCAATATTCACAGAACGAAAACTATATATTGTTATTAAATCTACTACATGTAATGAGCAATCTCATTTGAAATATTTTTATATACTTTACTTAACATTTTGAAAACATTTTCGTGATTGGCCTACTTTTAGATGTGAACTATGAAGATTCTCCATGTTATCCTGTGAGTAATTGTGTCTGCTATATTGGTGATGCTTTTATAACCAAAAAAGTTGTGGTAGTGCACACGCAATGGTGCTGAATATGGAACCATTCTGTGATAACATCGAACAGTCATTTCGTGTCTGGGTCGAGATTAAACTTGTTCCTGTCAAATTTTGGTATTTGTAAGTTGATTAAAATATGGAAAATATGTGTTGGTGGTCGCCATCATAATCCTATTGAAAAACATGCTGTTTTTTTGTGTGATATTAAAGGCCAGTGTTTTTCTATTATGGTTATCATTGCGCTTTGCCGTTGACAAAAACCCCGTTCCTGTCATGTTGACTTGACATTGTATTTACCTAGATTTAAATTGTGGGCATCGTCTATGAAGCAGAAGACACTTAACCTTCTGGAACACCTGGTCTTATTCTACTCAACCTTTTTTCAATGGTCTCGATGCAGTTTTAAAGATATTGAATTACGGTTCTGTAGACGCGTCGGTATTCTAGTGTTCCTTTTTAGCAATAATAGAATAATTTTCCTCTCGTAATGCATTACAAATCAATTGCTATATAGGATTCTAATCTCCACACTTGTGAACGATGACTGTAATTTAACCAGTGGTTCGTTGCTACTTTGTGAGATATAAAACTTTTAATGTTAACACCTTGCCTCAACATCCTTTCACAAATATAAGGGCTGAAATGCGTGTTCGCCATATACGTTATTATGCTTCGGGAAAAAAAGTTATAAGCATTTGTGTTTCATACTGTCAATAATACTAAGAATAGGGATTTCTTTGCTTAATACTCACTGTCCAACTGTAGGAAAACACTAGATAATGCCATTGTAAGTTTCCATATATACAGTTCCATCCCTTGTAGTTCAATTGTGGTATAACTGAAGTCGGGCAGGGACACGAAATTACCGCTTATCAGGTAGTTCTCGTGAAACTGTGTTGAGATCGGATAACATGGTTCTGGTTCGAGTCCCGGTATAGCTCATTAGCACTTTAAATCTCATAACACTTTTGTTGATATGCTTTAATTGTTGTTTATTTCATCTTAATGGTTTTGTCACAAAAGTCGCGTAAGGTATCAGATATGACTATCAAAGCTTTTGTCTATTGTCATTCCATAGAAAGAAATTCACAATTCAGTTTCAATAGTTTGGCAGTGGTATGGGACCCTGAAATAAATAATTAGGGACATATTATTACAAGTGGTGTTGGTGATGAAATGATTATTAATCAATGTTTCAACAGCACACAATACATATCAATAATATTGGAAATTACTGTATTGGCTTTATCTGTTTTCAGATATCTTTTTGATTTGCAGCAATAAGTATTTCGAAGAAGATAATGGCGGTAACGCATTCTTGGCTCACTGCTTCACCAGGTGTCGTTGCTAATGACAGGCATGAACATTAATGTTTACAGTTACAACATGTATGTCAAGTGGTGTCTGGGGTCGGTCATAGGGCGTTGATGGTTGCCTGTTTAAGGCGTACATCGTTGTAGATATAAATACATCAACGGATCTCTCACTTGAACATGTTATCGGTAGATTTATGTGAATTTTCAATTGATATTTTATGATATGCCTTGAAAAGTTTTATGGATATAACATGAATTTGTGAACGGTTTTTATGGCAGCCGTTTACTTAATGGGGTCACTCTCCATGGAAAATCTTTTGAGTATGTAAGGTATGTTCTCTCTGGTCAAACAGACAGAGATTGTGAACGTTATCCGCTTCGGGGAGCTGGTCAAGTGAGCCTGTACTTCAAATAGAAACTGGAGCTCAGGAATGTGTGATTTATTCACGTTGTCACCCGCAGTCGTGAATCTATGTCACATGGACCAACGTATTCAAAAGAAAAAACAGGCCACACTGACTTCATTTTTTCAAATTTTGTGACTTTTTATTAAAATTATCTAACCAATTCCATAGTTTATATAATTATGCTCTTAATAATTTTCCCGTGTCGTTTGGGAAAAATTAGTTTAACAAAAATCATGGAAAAGAAAAACATATATTTTAAAAAAAGAGATACAGGGAAAACATACTGAAAAGACCATTTGAGGGGATACACTCCGATTGAGTTGATAGTTTCTTGCATTTTCTTAGAAACTAGCAGAAATCTAGGAAACAAACTTAATAATTATTTTATTTGTTCTAAATGCGAAACTGAATACACACGTAGATATGATAAAGCATACCCCACTTTCAGCTGGCCAAGTTGAGTAACTAAGGAAAAGTGAAACACAAAAAAACGACGCATATCACATAAAAATGAAACTAAAAGTTTTTTCTTTTAATTTTTGTATCGAAATCCTTTTTTTCTTTTGAACTTATCTTTTGTCAATATATTTCAATTTTGTTTTTGTCAGTTACCTCCGCGTTTACATTGTGAAATTGAATTTTAATATATAAGCATAAAGACAGATACATTTTTATATTTGAAGGATTAATAAAATTAAGGAATTAAATGAGGAGCAAAACCACCCCCTTATGGGTCTAGTGGCGAGAATCTTGACCATTTGTTTTCTGTTTTAAGTGTAACATTTGTGTGAGGTTTTCGTACGAATGTATGATGAATATTGGTTTTCTCGTCTTATCTGTTTAATATCATTTTGTAGGAACGGCATTATGCTATCTCTACAAACAAATGACATGATCAAGTGCCCGAGTATAACAGACATTTAACTGGTGAAACCTTACTTCTTCTATCGCAATTTTGAGTAAATAATTTCAAAGTTGTATTGTTAGTTTCAAATAAGTAAAGAATATTTCAAAGAAACAGTATTTGAAGAAAATATTATAAAGAGACATTGCTCGATCGAATAAAAAATCATTTTATTCAATTCAATCCCGAAATACAGTTTTTCGCTGACGAAGCAGTTCATGTATTCTCTTTTATAAATCAGCCTTCTGTTAATGATATTTTAAATCGTTTCGATATTTAGGATTATGTTAGATTAAACTTAAACACTGTTCACAGAATGATTCCACGCCAATAATAGGTTTAGTCGAGATGATACAATCTGATCAATTGTTATGCTTTATCGATGTTGTGAAAAGGGGTCAAGGTGAATGTCCCGCCCTTGACACGAACATTGCAGTTCCCATTTTACTGCGTCATATATAAAGCCCATGTAAACAGATCTCGTAACGCTCCATATGAAGTCACATTCACATGTAAATAAGCTTGACTTAAAGGAACGTAACACCTTACAGACAAGACGTAACGAGAGGTTTTATTTGGAGTAGATGTTTGGTATTATAGTTAAATATATAATGTGTGATATAATCGGAGCTTAATTGATAATGTACTCAACGCCTGCGATAGTAATCAGCTTAAGGTAAATGTTCGTACTTTAGTTTCATAAAGTTTCCATTTCCTTTAAATACAACTCCCGTAGGTATATTAGGTATAGGACTACTCAAGCCGTGTATAATGCAAAAGTAATGTTCAAACAAAATAGCATGTACTTAAGTGAACCTTTTTCCCAAGTGTCGACTTTGACATTGGTACATCACAAACCGTGACTACGTGTATACTACTGCCATAAGTACTAGTCTAGACGAGGCACCGTGTCGGTATTGATGTAACGCTACCTGTAAATATACTGATCACTGAACAGGTAAATTTTTGTTTACAAATCCATCGAGAATAGACACACACATACTGCGTTGGCGTAGGTTCATGAGGTCCTCACTTTAATCTTTTTTTTTTGTAAATTTAAAGCTCCAGGTGATTTTACCTGTAAAATGTATTGCACTTTTAAGTAAGTCTTATTTCCTGTTGATGATTAAAGCATGTGATTTACACAGAGTTGAAATGTGGTTTTGTACTTCTGTTTATATTTACCTGTGTATGAACATGTATATGAGAGGTAGGGTTACTTCTATGTGTTTCTTTACTACGTGAAATCAAGCTTTACCGGTTATGGTAAAGTTTTAGTTGAACTCTAACCCTTAAAGTTCATAAATCAAACCGCTGTCGTTTTAATATAGTTCAAATCTGATTTAAACACAGCTGAAATTTACATTTACCTGTATGCATGTATGTGGCACAACGTCATAAAGTGATATGTGCCTGCACAGATGATTTTGGATGTAACACGCAATGGCAGATTTAAACTGAACATGTCATCTTCTGCTCTTCATTCTCACGCGACGACAGGACTGGACAAACGTGTTAACTCTCTGTTAACAGTTATTTACAACGTTCACGGGTTTATATGTAGGTTGCGATATTGTCTGTGACCACCAACTTAGAACGAAGGATACCTTGATGTCAAACTGCATTCATTAGAGGTGTGACTTTGTCCTAACCTTGGATTCTGTACTGGAAGAAAACATTGATTTGACTACAATTTTCTCAATATGCTAACAGGATATGGCAAATATATTTCATGGATTACTGTTTAATCTATAATAATACTAGTTGCTACTTGAATATGTGCTGTTGGACAACATGAAGCCATACGTATCTTCACATGCTAACGGGATATGGTGTCATAATTTCAAGCATCTAGCATCGTAACATATTTATGTGATGTTAACCTGTAAGAAGGTTTCACTGATATCTGTACTCTCGGACAACATGGATGTATCCAGGATCGTATGACCCAATTATCGTTTACTTTAAGGTGATTAGCGGTATGAAGTCTCCTGTAAGGAGTACATACAGTACTGGTGCCTGAAAACGGTGATGACATCTTTTCCTAAATAGCATCCATTGCAATATTTGCCTTTACCAAGGAATCATACTTTTGTTTGAAAGGGCGTGAGTAATGGTCGACATGGAAGTAATCCAAACTTTTAAAGACAGTATTTTGTAGTCTTAAGCGCGTACATTTTTTACCTGGATTTATAAACCTGTTTATGACATATGTCATTTTGCTAGTATTGGATGATTGACGATTGGTGATATGTATTTTACTGTTGATCATAATGATGTGTCAGCCGTATCGCTTCTCCTTTAAGATGATTGTATTGACATTGGTAAGAACATATCAGCACTCGGTGACTCGGAGACGTTTATGAGCAAATTTAAGTTACACCTGTGAAATACACCTGTGGAGAAACGCCGTTCACGTTTAATGAATATCAGACTTTCCACGGTTCATGTCAACCATGACCTGTTTGTGTATTATTAACAATATGAACAGTTTGTGCTACGGTGTGTAAGCATTTGACGACAATGTGTGTCAAACCTGTGTATTGTTAAGCGATCGTCCATAAACGTTCTGTAATTGTTTGATTTACCTGCGCTATATGTATCTGTGAAAATAAACTCTGATACTTTGCTCCCGGACAGGCGTATGTGCTAAACACTACGCACAAATCCCTTCTACCTGTCGTATTAACTTGAGTGTTTGATTGAATACACACAAACTCATTACATTCTAGAATGGCGAGTGTAAAAACAACCGTCATTTAGAGGATTATGTTGATGTGTTCGGATGAAGCGTACACAATAATGATTCGAACAGATGATGGAATATAGTTACACACAAATATCCATGTGACCTTGAGACTAAATCAATTAGTGTCCTTTCAAACTGAGGAGTAAGTAATGTGATGTATTGAATGGATAAACTATTCAACACACGGATGTGCTATTTCCAGTGGAATATTAATAGTGTTATACCCACCAGGGAAATCTTAATCAAGCAACATACAGCCGAAACAGTGCTGACAGTGTAAAGAACTAACATAATAGTAAGGGCTATGATAGTATATCTAAACTAAAACTATAACAATAGAAATAGGGACGACAGCATTTAGTAGGTTCATTGACAGTAGCAATAGTTATTACGTTGTCTGTTAAATCAGCAACACATATATATTCAAGAGGCTTTCCTTTTAACGTCATACATGAACTGCAACGCACGTGTAAGGACCAACAGCAACATCAACCATACGACACTGAGGCTGTAGGGCAGCAATTAAAACGGGAAAAACACCAACAGAAGTACTAGTATATATATAACAGTGTGACCTAGGACAGTGCAGAGAACGTACCCTACCATGTGTCGAACGTGTGTTACTATGGTAGATATGGAGGTACCACCCTGGCTGTGGGACCCGGGGGTCACGTGGTGTAGGAAGAAGTACTATCTCTCCCAGAACGGCCGGTGGTCGGGTCAGCCATGTACGGTGAGTCAGCCTCGTCCTTCGATTTACGTTTTGTTTGATACGATAATAAGGTTATCAGAGATGTTGCGCTATACACTCGGGACCGTCTTTTTTAATGTGGGAATGAAAGTTATTAAGTAATTAACGTTATTTGAATATTTCATTCGTGCATAAATTTCATTTGTAGCACTTTTAAATATATCTATGATGCAATAACCAACTGTTTTCAATCGTTGACCTCCTATTTGTTGGTAAAGTAGACTGTCCCCCCCCCCCAAATCACTGAAACTGATACATGATCTAGAGCAATGATAAATGGTTGAAATGTGGTAATTGTGAGGGGCGATACACTGTAGTGTTTACCTAATAAGTACAACTGTGTATCCGATTGGATTATATTGATTCAAAATAAATCGTCGTGTTTATCTATCATGCTCGAGTTTCCACGATTATCATTCCTTCATGCGGGATCTTTAATATCAGTTCGGAAAAATCATACCTTAGTTCAGTTGAAGCGACTTAATCAGACGAAAACAATGGCGATTAAGCATACACAATTTTAATATGTGTCATAAGTCTAATTCAGTATAATAAAATTGTACTGGCCACTTTGTAGGGAAGCACAGAATGAAGTTTCCCTTTCACAAAGAAATATATATATATATATATATATATATATGCTATTAGTCAAGAAAACAACACAATAGATGTATTTAATTAAAATCAATCACAAATTCTTATGCTACCTAAAGGTTTGGCTAAAGAATGGAGAAGCAACGTGATGTTGTTATAAAGACCCGTATTCCAACATGCAGCAGTGTGAAATAAGGATAACGTCAAACTATCGCATGTGCATGAAAACTTAAAAAAGAGAAGGTGGGTAAACCGCTTCCAACATAAACACACATGTACAGAGGAAAATATACACAAGTAAATGTACAGGTGTACATCAGAGCTATCTAGGCGTCGACAGGTAACATATAGACTCGTAGCCGTAAGCAGTCAACACAATTAATGTATTAATGTAATGGCGCTGAAAAGGACTATTTACTGCTGTCAAATATAGACATTTAAAACCCACAAACCTTGAGAAATATAAATAGCTGATGTTTCAATGACCTCGGCGTCTTAAAACACGGTCGAATTCGGAGTCAAACGTTCAATATTTAGAAATAATTAATAGGATACTTTAAGTATTGGTGTCCAGTCGTGCTCTGCTGTAGCCATGGGATGACGTTGAGTAAACAAATATACGGGATTAATATAAAACATCTACAAGGACCTAAACGGAAAAGGCTTAACAGATGTGAATTGCGATATCTGTGACATATTTGTTGGCCACATAGTTTCATACGAGTTCTTTGCGATGATTAAAATCAATACATTGTTTTCTTTACACTTTATTTATTTTACAACGTTATGAAACAAGTTTTTACAACTTATATTAATCCCTCTTGTTGGCCAAGATGTTAGCGTGCAGGGGTCTTATATTGCGGGAGGAAACCGGCCGTCTTGGTGAAAGGGAAGTGCGCTGCCCACTGCGCCACCCGACCACCCTGCTTAAAAATACCTAGTAAGCAAAAAAGAGCAGAGGAGTAAAACAATTTCAGGACGATATTCAGCTAACGTGATTTTAGAAGATCTAATTTTTTTCCCGACATTAAAATGCTCTTCACCCTTATTTTTGAATAAGGATGACGTTCGTATAAACTAAAAAAATCAGTACTATAAATATAAGCAACGTTTTCAGGTTTTCAGGCAAAACACTGTTCAATGACGTCACACCAAAGCGATCAAACTATCCTTGTTGGACATACAACATTAGGCCTATGCAACACAGTCTCTGGTCTGGTAGGTCCGACAGTTTCTAGAGTCACAAACATTCAAACCATGGCACTTCAATTGTTAGAAACAGGTTCTGTTGCAGTTCTTATAGGAAGTCCTCAATACCGCGACGTACTAGTCAGTCTCCCAGTCCTTAATAAGATGTTGTTTTTTTTTATTACTAAGGCATGTATTGTATATCACAGAATCAGGTACTTAATTTAATTCTTTATTTATTTTACGAGCATTATAAACAGCCCGAAGGCTACTAAATGCTCTCCTCAACATATATAAAACATACAATATGTACAATTACACAATAGACGTTCAAATGTCGAACACACTTGCACTCACACATACACACATTACACACACACACACACACATACACACACAGAGAGAGAGAGAGAGAGAGAGAGAGAGAGAGAGAGAATGTGTTTGAATTTACGATATATTCAACAACATGGTCAAATAATGTTTTGTTCTCAATTTCGTTTAGAGTTTCTAATCCACATAAAATTATTTTGACAAGAACATTTGGCATGAGCTCTACAATAAGGTTGGAATTGATATTATGAGCAAATATATGACAAACAGCACGGAGCATATTGGAACGGATTCGGTTATATTTTGGACAAAGTAAAAAGAAATGAATTTCATCTTCGGAGGAGTTCGCGCAGAAGTCACAGAATTTGTTAGTAGTTAAATTGTAAGAGTATATATGTCTGTTTAAAGCACTAAGTCCCATTCTTATTCTAGAGTGATTGAATTTTCCTTTCCCATGTCCATATGCATATAAAGAGTTTGTTTGTGGAATGGATAGATTTGACAGTGCTAGAGAGAAAGACGTTAGTGAAGAGCTATTTCTCAATGCTTCAGGTAGGTTGTTCCAGTCTCGTATTGATTTTGGAAAGAAGGATTGGTGATAGAAAGATTTTCTTGACAGGATAGGAAGAATAGTATTAGAATTTCTAAAGTTGTAGTTTTGTGTTCGATGACTCTGAATTGGACAAATAGTTTTCAAGTATGGCGGACATAGATCATGCTTAATTTTAAATAACATTTTAAGTCTGCAATTTTTTCGTCTCTCACTTAGTTTTTCCCATCCCAATTCACCCAGCAGTTTAGTATATTTGGTAACCTTATAACCGCCTGTGCATATTAATGCCGCCCTACGCTGAACACTTTCAATAAGGTCAGACTCTTGCTGACTGCAGTTATCAAATAAAATATTGCCATATTCCATAACCGATCTTACCATAGTTTTATATAGTGTTTCAAGACAAGAACGTGGGATAATATAAGCTAATGCTTGTAAGATATTTAGTATTCTGTTTGCTTTGGCTACAATTTCTGAAATATGAAAATGCCAGCTGAGGTTACCCGATAGAATTATGCCAAGATGTTTATGGTTAATTACATGTTTAATCGGAATGTTGTTAAGCAGGAGGTTCGGTTTATTAACAAATCTTTTTTTAGAGAAAATAACAAATTCAGTTTTTAGTGCGTTAAATGTGACAAGCCATCGCTATGCCCACTGAGACAGAGTAGTTAAGTCGTCGTTTAGTTTATTTACTGATTCGTTGCTATTTATGATTGATGAGAGAGATGTGTCGTCAGCGAATAAGTTAATGTCAGATGAAATGCCTACATTTATATCATTTACATATACTAAAAATAAGAGCGGTCCAAGGATCGAGCCCTGGTACTTGCTTTGGTGCCCTTTACTTAGGGACACAAAAGCGATCAAAAGTAATCTGCAGCACCCATTGGAGTATTTGATATATTTATTTTTCTCTTCACTTCCAAACCAAACAAAACCAATACCTTCCATTTGCTAGCGCCGTGTTTGGCAATACCTCACTTTTGGCTTCATTAGAGGTGATACATATTGTCTGCAAGGCATTTTGACGAGGTATTCCTCAAACAACTATTGCTGAGAGGAAATTTAACGTTTATTTCTTATATAACGAAATGACTTGAGGATCAAAATGAGTCAAACACCATATAGGAATTGTATTGTTTAATAAGAAACTTTGAAAGAATTAAATAATCTTAACATGTCATAAACGCAATGCATGTACGGTGAATACTTTTCAACTGATCTTGGTCCAAGCTAAATATAGAAATAGGGATAGGATTATGCTATAGAACATATCGCACTTCCTTGTGGTCTGCCTGCACCACGCTACTCTCATTACTCGAGTTACTCAATGGAACTAGTTATTTAACAGTGTATTTTTATTTCATAAGGTTTTCATTGAACTTTGTTGAAAAGAGCGTGCATTACAATTTAGACCTTCAATTGCTTCAATGTTCGAATATAAGGAATATTGTTCCGAGTTGAAAGTCTTCAGAAACATATTGAGACGCTTAAAATATTCTGATTATGTTTCCAAAATATCACCAATACAACTAATCGAGGATTTTCACAATGCACACGCGCATTGGATGAAAGTAATGTAGCATCTACGGATCTGCATTTGAAGCAGGGATGAAACCATCCAGGTATAAGAAGGAACTTATCTTTAATATGTCTTAAGTGTGATGATGGGGTCAGAACAATCGCAGACTAGCGGTCTTCTAATGCTATACGCGACACCTTATATCAAAATTGGAAGAGATATCGGTAAATGGCATTATGTCATCAACCAAGGTGATTTAAATAGTATCAATAATATGATACTATGAGAGATTTTCCTGAAAGTCCAAAGTATTGCGAGACTTCTACCATCAACTGGAATGAGATTTCGAATATCATAATTAAATCCATATCAAGACAATTAGTTAAATTAGAGAATGCTGAATTGGATACGCATTCAGAATGGGATAAACGTAACAGGTCCATCATTATGAAAGAACGTGGACAATCCTCTAAGACCACCAAGAAAGGCATTGATGATTCTACAGACAGAGTATCTAATAAAAGCAACTGGCGACATACATGTATGTTTGCAAACAAATATAAAAAAAAATATTTTATGAAAAATACGACAAATGCAAGGATAAAAAAACATTGAAGATGACCATTGACACATTTTTTGGACGCCATCAAAATCTCATTATAAGTCTATACTCCCTCTATGATAAGTATATAGACAGTTTTGCGTATTCTTTTATTGTGCCTTGTGGTTGCCGCATCATCAAGCCGGTTCTCACTTGGAGAACGTGGCATTATTCGGATTTGCCAAGAATTA